TACGATACAAGAAAAGAGAAAAATATGTGTTGAAATCACACACAAATATGGTCATCTTTTAATGATGATGATGATGATGATGATCGTCATACTGAGATGAACCTAATAATTCATTCGTATAAAGTTAAATATGAAAAATGATAGCCTTCTATAATGATGGCTAATGAAAATAATGAATGGCAAAAAAAGCCTTATACACACACACACACACACACATTAAATTATTATCATTCTTTTTTCCGGTGGTAGTATGGTGATGGTGGTGGGTTTGACATCAAATCAAATATGCTTTCGATGATATGATATGAGCTTATATTTCATTTCATATTGGATTTTTTTTCAATCGTTTTCAATATAGGTTATGTAATTTGGTGATGATGGACCAATCATTAATGGTTTTTTCAACACTCCATTAAAGGAAATGGTAATAATAAGATGTGATAATGAGCATCAGCAGCAGCAATAATAAAAATGAAGCCGACTTTTCGGACTTTATTTCATTTATAATAGTGAAAAAAAATTCAGTTTTTTATTCATTCATTCGTAATTATTTAAATTTGACCAAAAAAAAAAAAAAAATAATAATAATAATAATTTGGATATTTATTGCCATCATCATGCTTGAAAATGCCATTCCAATGAAACCGAACAATATCGAATCGGTAATTTTCACGGGCAACAATACAATGAACAGTGAAAAAAAATATCATATTCATCCGAAACGTATAATAGTATAATGGAACAACCATCTAGAATTCAGAATCATAACCATCGTTGAAAAGCCGAAGGCCATTGGCGGAAATTCATTTAAATTCAATGATGATGATGATAATAATAATGAAGAAGAAATGGGATGAAAATTGTAAAAAAAAAATTTAAATTTAAATTAAAAAGTTTCATCTTTAGATTTTTTTTTTGTTATTAGAGCTGAAAATGGAATAAAAATAAAAAATAATTCGCCATCGTCATTTAAAATCAATCCAAAAACCCTTTAATATATATATATCCTCAAAGCATGTGCTTGTGCTTTAATTTTTCTTTAGAAAACTTTTCATTTTCATTGATGAACAAATGAGAAAAAACTCAATAAACCAAAATCAAATATGGTGTGTGTGTGTGTGGGTGTGTATTTAGGGCAATTTTATTCCTTTGGAAGAAAATTTTTGAATGATGAGAAAAACGAACAAAGAAAAAAAAATCGAGACATCGATCATCATCATGATCATCATCAAATATAATCCACCACTACCACCCAACTATAGGGTAAAATGATTATGGAAATGAAAAGAAAGTTTTTTTCTACCTTCCAGCAACAACAAACATGATAATGAAAATAATGCCAACCGACCATTATCACCTAAAGAATCTAGATTTTTAGAATCCAAACCAGATTCGTGGTCGAATAATTAATGAATTAATATCATATTTTTTTTTCTCTCTCTCTCTCTTTGATCGCCCTTAAGACCAGTTTTTTTCGTTAGTTAAATTACACAGATCAAAAAAAATATGGCCAAAGAAAAATCAACAAAGAAACAGAACAGGGTAGAAAAAAGGTGGCTCATTTCAAATATGATAGATGTATGTCGAGATATCCATAATACATACATAGTAGTGTGTATGAATAAATGAATGATGAATACGATATATGAATGGTAAATGGATCGGAACCAAGTTTTTTCTCTCTTTCCATCTGTTTGTGTGTATGTGTTTTGTTATACACCATACACACACACACACACACACACACACACACACAAACAAAAACATTACATAACAATAATAATAATAATAATGATTATCATCAGTGAAAAAAAAGAAAAAATACCATCATCATCATTAAGGGCTAAAAGATAAATGTATATCGTATCCATACACATACACACACAAATCGGTAAGAAATTTGTGGACAGAAATAAACAAACAAAAAACGAGAACCACCTTGTTTTTTTCTTTTTCTCTTCATCGGATTCAAGGCAAATATATCCCAACCAGAACTAACAAAAACAACAACAACACCAGTTTTTTCGGTGATCAGATCCATAGATCCATTTAACATATTGATGTAAGTGAAAATAGAATGGAAAATACAACAAACGACCATTTCATTCAATGTTAAATTTCAAACTGCCACCACTGACGATGATTTAAGTTTTCAATTTTATTCTCTCACTCTCTCATCATTTTAAAAAACAACAGACGCAAACTAAATAAAGAAAAATAAAAATGGCCCAGTGGGTGTTTAAAAAAAAAACAGTTAGTACTTGCTAATGGCACTTTCTTCAAGGGATCCGCAAGAAAAAAGCAAGCAGAAACAAAAATCCAAAAACACATACAACATTAAGGGTTAACTGCCTGATTGCAAACATTTTCTCGAAAAAAAATAGAAAAAATTCTCTCAAAATAATAATAAAAGACAGTGAAGAAAAAATGATGATGATGATGATTTCAAATAATTGCCTAAATAAAATGAAAAAGGCAATTCTTTGCAAGCAAATAAAACAAAACACAAAAACTCCGGTTAGTCTTTTTTTTCTCCTGTCCCGCTTTCAATTCACTTTCACTCATCATTATCCATTGACAATGACGATCATGATAATAATAATGATGATGACGACGACGACAACAACAACAACAAAACATAATGGATGGCAATATGATCCCGGTAGTGAATGATTTAATGATGGCAATGGTAATTTCAAGTGCAAAATCATTTAATTCATTCCATCAGTTCATTATCATTGGAAAAAATATCAAATAATATCGAATCGATTGGATTGCACAATAACAGCAACATCAACAGCAGCAATAAATATTTATTATTGACAAATAAATCGTGCGTTGAAATTATTTTCTTTTTCCATTTCCACAATTTTTTTTTCACTTCGTCAAAATGAAAACAAACAAACAAAAAAAAACTAAACGTCTTGAATGTTGATGATGAATGTAAATGTTTTTTCATTGGATTGTTTGATTCTATGTGAATTCTATATTCTAAATATTAGAATCCATATAGAATTATATCGAGAACATCATTCGATATTCTAGTCGAGTCAAGTCAAATTTTGATGTTTTTTTTTCTATCTTTTCTTTTTTCTGTGGACAAAATATAAAATACAAACACACACAAAAAAAAGAAAAACTTTGTTTTTGCCTCGAGCCGTATTATATATAGCATATATGATGATCCGAATGAACACAAAAAAGAATAGAACCTCGATTACTGTTGTAGTTTTTTTTTTCATCATACAAAAAATCGCAAATCGCATCCTCGAAGAAACATGTGGAGAAAAAAATTAAGTTTTTGTGCAACGAGCAAAGCAGCAGCAGCAGCAGTAAGCAATCAGAAATAATTGAACAATGCCTATAGGTTCGGTTCAATTATTATTGAACGAAATTGATGCCCAAATAAGAAAATGAAAACATTTTTTTCTTTTTTTTTCAATCAGAATGAATAAATTGTGCTTGTGTGTGTGTGTGTGATCAATTCATTTATTAAGCAAGCAAAAAAAAAATCCAGAATTCTTGAAAAAATTTACATTGAAAATAAAATGAAATTACAGTATACTATTGCTACCTACATACAATGTGACAGAAAAAATCTCATTTTTATGAATCATCTAATTCCTTGTAAATCAATGGCTAAACTAACAAAAGTTGTTATTGTTGTGTTATCACATTTGCGGGATATTCAAAACGAATCGTCGAATGTTAGTTGTATGTATGGATTGATCAACATCATTGAACAAACAAACATTCGATTATAATAACTAATAATAATACCGATATTCTCAGATATTTAAGCATCTTATCAAGAGAAAAAGTTACCATTCGATTTGTTGTTCATCATTTATTAATCGAACAGTAAACTAAATATAAAACAAACAAACAGACAAACCAATCAAATGATTTTGTGTCCATAGCCGGCTATCATTTGAATGATCAGTTGAAAATTCCAAGTTTGAAAAAAAACAACAACAACAACAACAAAAAAACGAAGAAAAAAGTATAATAATCAAGTTAAAAGTCAATCACAAACAATGAGATATAAACAAATTACACGAAAAAAAAAATACAGACAACCCGTTTAATTAATTATTTACATTCACAAAGGAAAAAAATTTTTACGAAAAAAACCATGAATGTTGTTGTTATATCTCAAAAAAAACAAAAACAACAATTGAATACATATTCTTTCGATTTTGTTGTTCCACAAGAAATAATTCCCAACACAAACATGGTTATATTATTGTTGTCATTATTTATTATTTCAATGATTATTCTTCATTTATTCCTGTAAATACAACTGCTCAAATTCATTCGGTAGCAGATAGAAAAAGAATGAAATTCGAATCGAGTGCCAGAAAAAAAGCCTGTTCAAACCTGAACCTATTGTTGTTGTTGTTCCAGATGATGATTATAATCGAAATAATGAAGAGAGAGATTCTTTTCTCCTATGACCTATCTACTTTTCTTTTTAGTTATTATCATCATTATCATTATTATTAAATAGAAATGAGATGTTAAGTTCATTATTTTCGATTTTTTTTCTCTCTCTCTCTCTCTCTTTCGCTCGATGCAATCGAATAGATCGATCGATTCACCGTTTGATGATGATAATGATCATTATTATTTTTTGGTTAAATGTATATTTGTGTGAGTATGGAAAATGAAAATGATAAGCACATCATCATCATGACTAGAATGGATGATTTCTTTCATTTTCACCAAATTGAATTGAATTATTCCATTTTCTTTGAGAGTGAAGCAATTTCAAAGTTTTTTTCTCTTTAGAAATGATGTAATTTTTGTACGAGAAAGCAATTTAAGTGTAGAAATAGAAATGAAATATTTCGAAAAATGAGAGAAGAGAAAAAATTCAATAATAAAATCAATTATTGTGTCACGGTAAATCAAGTAAGAAGCTACAAGTGTCATCTGTATAAGTGAAACAAAACAAACCAAACAGATAGATAGATGATAATAAATTACTAATTACTAACATTTTTAAAATCCAACACTTGTTTTATATGTGAACCATCCGTCTCTTCAAATTGTATCTGTATATAATCATTGATTATATTTGATGTAATTAATTCACGAAACACTTCACCACCATCATTACGAACATTGATGGCAAAATTATGATCAAATGATAATATTGATTTTGATGATGGATGATGATGTTGATGATAAGAATGATGTTGTTGCTGTTGTTGTTGAGGCACACGTTGTTCATTAACATTATCAATATTATGTTGAATATGTTGCTGTAATGAAGCTTGTTGGGTTATTGTAGGTATGAATATAATGATAATATTAATAAATAACCACGATAGCCATATATTACAATTATACCACCAGTACCAGCACCAATTATATGCCACAGTATGGCTATTTGTCCATCGTAAAAATGATATCATCATCATCATTATTATTTTGGTTGTTATGAAGAATTTCTGTGGAAACACAATTTTCTCTACAAAATAAAAATAGATCTTGAATAGACATACGTAAACATTGATGAATTCAACAAGGGACCGTATGTATACGTATTACGGATGATGATGATGGATCACTTTGCATAATATAATATCTTTTAATTTCATACATATACAGTATACACAACCAATTCATCATTAATATCACTTATAAGTGACAATAACACACACACACACACACACACCTAGTTTTTTCATTGCAAATCAAATAGAAAAAGTCGCAAATAATAATGATGATTATGATTGGTAAATGATTTCAGCTGATGTGAAATGTATATATTTTTGAAATCTATATGTGGATATAATGAAAAAAAAAATGAAATGAAATAAAGATATATCCAATAAAGCAAACAGGACAAACTTGTTGTATAATGGAAAAATATCAAATTGATCACGTCCAAATATTAAACACACACACAGTAATAATAATGATGATATATTTGTCTACTTATTACGTAAAAATGCAGACAAAATTAATATTGTGGATGTATAGTTATTTGATCGTTTGGAAGAATAAAAATTCGTTATTGTTGATGCTCTTTATATCGACAAACACAAACAGAATTCATAAGAAAAAATTTAGTTTTAGAAAGAAAAAAAAAATTCAATGATCACATTGGATGATGATGAAGGCTGTTTGTCATGTATGAATTCAGTTTTTTGTTTATTTAATTCGTTTTTTTTTCATTCGAATTATTGATATTATATTTTCGATAAATGAATGTTTTTGACAGCAATATGGGGTAAACGATTTTTTTTATTTTTTTTGAAATAACGTATGTTTGTTTGCTAACGGGGATCAAAGATTAATTAAATTTGATCCCGTCGTTTATTTTGTTGAATGTTTTTTTTTTGACTTAAAAAAAATTCGACTCATAACGTAGATAAACAAAAACAATCAGGAATTGACAGTTTCGAGTTTCACACATCACATAACATCAAATCACATGTAGAATTTTGCTTTTTTTCTTTATTTGGCGCCGTAATTTGATTTGTTTTCGTTGTCGGTTGTAATCGCAATGAACATTCCATTGCTTCTGATTCTGTATGATGAGATACTGGTGTTGTTGGTTCTGTGTTCGGATTGTTTTTGAAATTTTTTTTTCATTTGAATTATATTCAGGAGATTCGATATTTTTTTTTTGCTATTGTAGAACACAAAAACAGACGCCATATATACACATTTTGAACATAGAACGATTTGAACAAATTATATAGAATAGACATAGGTTTCTAGCAGATTCTGGAACCATTATCCAAGAGAGAAATAAAAAAAAAAAATTAAGACGTGAATTCTCTCTCAGCAACAACAACAATGATAACATACGAGCAGCTGGGCTGCAAATAACACATGAGCACAGATTCTAAATTCATTTCCATGAACGCATGCGCAACAAGAATCGAATTCAATTATTTTATAATTCAAAGAAAGACCGAAAAATGTGGTTTTTTTTCATTCTCAAGAATATAAACATTGAATTGAATTGAAAATTCAAATTCTATCTAGAATAATAATAATAATTGAATCGGGATTCTAAGAAAAATAAAATAAAATAATTATTTCTTTGTTCCCACACCGCTACCTCACTCTATTCACCATCGCAATCATTGTCATTCAACAATTCCATTCCATCCATTCATTCATTCGAATGTTAACATGGTTACCAAGATTTTTTTTTTTGTTTGGAAGAATAAAAAAATTCTTCCTGGATTTTTTGTTGTTGTTGTTGTTGTTTGTATTGTTTACATTCTTTATTGATAACAACAACAACAAAAACTCTTTTCACATGTAAAAAAAAATAACAATCCATCATTCGAAAGAGAGATAAAGAAGAAAAAAAGAATTATTTGTTCACCTTTTCGTTGTTGTTGTTGTTGTTGTTGTTGTTGTTTTGTTGTTTATTTATTTATTTCCTTCATTGTTTTGTATTGAATAATTAGACTTATAAATATGTTCAAAACATCAAAATGTTTGTATATCAATATACCAATATATATCTCATCTAATCACATTGTTTCTGATTATTGATGATGATAATGATGAATATAATATTATTATTTGGGCGTGTCATTGTTGTTGCTGTTTGATATCTATCAATAACAACAACCTGAACAAGCTGATATCACTTTTTATTATTAAAATCTTTATATGACTTTTTTTTCTCTCTCACATTTTTCCCTTTCTTTTTCACTATAATATATGGGTTTTGGCTTTCACAATTTCAGACTGAAAAAGAATGATTTATTCATCTGGTTTATCATCATTGTATAAGGTGTTTTAGTACTATTAAGCACGCGACGATGACGACCAATCGATCCAATCATCATCAAATTGAATATAAATAATAAATTACCGTCGATGGTAATAGAATAGATTCAATTGTAGATTCGGTTGCCATCTGGTGGCTGTGATCATAAATGGGAATTATATTTTTCAATTTTTGTTTAATGAAAAAAAAAATTAAGTATAAAGTATTTTTAATAAAAGAAACAGAGATCATAATTAGATGGCTATTGATTCAATCACAATAGTTAATTTAAGCATCATTATAGAATAGATTTTTCATCGTTGTTAAAACATATTGCGGTCTAAGATCAAAAATTGGCCCTGAAATCGATGAAGATCGTTTGTTCGGTCATCATGTAATTATGATTCAAGTTGGCGAACAAATCCCATTTTCGGTGACTTTCAAATGTATTTATGACATTTTGTTTTCATCAAATTGTATTCAATCACATCCTTTTCAAGTTTTCTTTTTTCAGAGTCCATTATTATAATTGATGTATGATAATTGGAATTCGGATTAATATATGAAAACATGGTCAATGAGGTAATTTACATTTTGCCTTTGATTGAAAATGCTAACAATTTTCCTTGTCTTTTGAAGCATAAAATTTTCATTGATGATCAATGATCATTAGACATATAATTGGTGCCGTCTTTAGAAAAACGATCATGGTAATGATGCCGAGCATTACAAATTTATTGGTGGATATCTGGTCACTAACATGGTACGATGTCCAACGAAACATTATGTTCGTCGTCAGGTAACTTTGGAATTTCGTTATCAATCAATGATTCTAACACTTAAATTTCTCAAAGGCCTGCATTGAATTGAATTGTTGGAGCAACTTATTCGGTAAGTCGACATATTCATTCTTCATATCTAATAAAGATTGGTCTATCTTTTTTTATTAGGTTTGTTCCTGAAATTTTACAATCATCAAATTGAAATTCGATTGATGATTATGTTCGAGATCAATTCGACGGTTCCATTGTTCATCAGCATTCAATTCAAGAATAGTTTGGCCATGTTCAACACATGATAACAGGTTAGGCTAGGGTTAGATTAGGCTTAGGAACATGATCTGAGCTATTTCCTATTGAATTTGATGCTGATTGAATCTTTGGAATCAATGAAGCGATCGAAAACATGATTATAAGTCGAAGATTCATGGGATGGAACACATACTTGAAAATGATCATGGTAAGCAAATGAATAGATTAATTGAACAAACAACTAATATTTATCTTCACTTAGGATCGCCGGCGAACAATTTGGAAATTGAATTTCGAACCATGGATAGAATTTGGACATTGTCTTGAAACATGGACCGCGATTATGGATTTATTTATGTCAAACGGGACAATTAACGTTTTATGGCGCAATTTGGATGTGAAATATGCATGTATTTTATTATTTAAAATTTTAATAAATTAATATTTCAATAAAATCAATTAAATTTCAATATATATCGATTAAATTAATATGAGGGGTAAAGGGAATGAAAGGGGTCAAAATTGCTGCAACAATCGGTGAGCGACACCATCGATAATTTCGATATATCGAAAAAACAATCGGTCAGTCGGTGGTCACGAAATCGCGAGTACTCGCGAAAATTGAGTAGACTATCGATATATCGATAGTCAGTCGGCGAATCAGTATGTCGTTTGAGTACTCGCGATTTTGGCGAGATTTCTGAACCACTCCAAATCGCGAGTACTCGCTGGCAACCACTTTTTTCTGTGTATAAAGTATTTTTAATAAAAGAAACAGAGATCATAATTAGATGGCTATTGATTCAATCACAAAAGTTAATTTAAGCATCATTATAGAATAGATTTTTTCAATCTTTGATTTTCATCCTTTGATCAACCATTTATCTAATACTGATTGATTTTCATTGGTCGTTTGATGATTATTTTTCTGTTTTTTTGTGTTCGTTGTACAACCAAATTATTTTGAGCATATTTAACTTCATCATGAAAATTATGGAAAACAGTAATGTTCGTATGTGCTGTCTGGTTAATTTTCCACATAAATTCATGAAAATATTGGCCATGCGATCCATTATCACGAATTTTGGCAAAATAAATGTATGCATGAATCATTTCATGTAATAATGTATTGACTAAATCAGAACGTGGCCGTAATGAAAGCAATTTTGATGATAAACGTATTTCTGTTCGCCAACCATGTTCATTACCATTACGGAAATAACCAACAGTAAATAGTCCGGCTGATGCTGTTAAGCGATTACACCAAATGATCTGAAAATTTTTTTGATTGCTTAGTTTGCTTTCGAAAAATTTCGAATCAAATTCACGAAATAAACATTGAATGTCGGGCGTTGGGTCAAGCGTTTCTAAACGAGGATCCATCAGTGAAAGATTTTCAATCAATGATTTATTCTTATTCATAACGTCAGTTTGATTTTCTGATCGACAAATAGTTTTTCCATAGTTGGATGATCGAACTAGAATGAAAAAAGAGAATAAAATTATTTTAAAAATAAATATCAAAAATAATTTTATTACAATAATCAACAATTCGAGATTGAGCTTCTTTGTTCGTCCTATCAAGACTTTTGTTAGACGAAATTGATTCAATAAAAATTACATCATCTGAACGGCGGATTTTCGATGCAGGTGGTATAAATTCTTGAAGCAATAGTATTTCATCATCATTATCATCACGATTGCATAATCGTTTTCTTGTATTATTCTTTGATTCATTTGATCTATTCGAGTTAGCAGTAGATGATGATGTAATCATCGATTTAGTAGCCGATGGCCGATGACATTCGAATAGAATTTCAATATCACCATTATCATTATAATCAGATTCAAATTCAAATGAATTGCCAACAATCACAGAAAATTCAGATGAATTGGACATCATGATAGAAAAAAATTAAAAATAAAAATTGCAATTTTAATTCATCAACGAATTTTGTTAGTTTCAACAATGTTTTTAAGCATACAACGGTTCAAACAATCAAATAAAAAAATTGTTGTCTGTCCAGACGTCACGTTCATATAGTATGTTATGACTCGAATTTTGAATTTCAAATGTTTTATTTATTTGGCCCCATTAAAAAATTAATTTTCAAAATTAAAAACGATTTTAATTTTAATCAAATTTTTTCTTTCATCAAACGGTAATACATTGTAATAAAAACAAAATTTATGCAAATAAACGATTCAGGAAGGGCACAGCCACTGAAGGGGAAAGGAGAAAATTGCATCATACACAATTTTTTTTCTGAGGTTAAATTTGATGATGATGATTATCATTGTTGTTCATCATCACCGGAACCGGTAATCAATTTGATATATGCATCAATATTGAAACGACCTTTTGAATCCATACGAGCTTCGGCAAATGCTAAATCCAATTCTTCTTCAGTTAATTTTTCACCAAAACGGCCAAGATTTCTTCTCAATTCTTCTACATCGACCATACCGGTTTCAAGTGGATCGAATGTTTTAAATGCAGCTTTGATTACATCCGGATTATCGCCACCTAATTAATTTTATTGCAATTATTATTAAAATAATTTATGCAAAAAATTATCAAACAAAAACATACCAGCTATACGTTCACCAAAAATGGATAAAAACATTGTAAAATTCAATGGCCCAGGTGCTTCACTCAACATGTTTTGTAATTCTTCATCCGGATACATTCGACCTATTATTATTATTATTATTGCATGGTAATTTTATGATATCTGCCAAACATAATAGCACATACCTAAAGCATCGAAAGTTTGTCGTAGATCAGATTTACTGATCAAACCATCTTTGTCTTGATCGATGAATTGAAATGCCTATGTCAAATCAATGAACAATGATGAATAGAAAAAAAAGTGAAAAAAATAATGTACCCTAAAATCGCGACTATAATACGCGCCTTATACAAAAAAATGTTGACAAATAGTAGTCTTATTTATAATAATAAGTTACTTTATGGGAAAAAAATCTGCGTTTTGATAGTCGCGATTTTATGGTATTCAAAGGGCAAAAACGAAAAAAAGAATCGGAAATCTTTGAACAATCAATTCATGTAGCCACAAGATTCAATTGTATTATTTCTGTATTACTTTATGGTGGTGAAAGAAGATGGTGTTTTCATTCGAAATCGATCATCAATCATTTTGTTTTTTTTCTCCGAACAGTGAATTCTTTTTTCTTTTGGCACTGAATTTTCGTTTTATTCTTGTTATTCAAACTTTATAAATTTCTAGAATAACTAGAATATTCTCAAATCAAATGTAGAAAAAAATCACTATGAATTCTATGATGGTGTTGGCGGTGGTGGTGGTGGTGGTGGTGGTGGTGGTGGCCGAGAATCATTCACATCAGATTATTATTACGATGATTGTGTCATGGATTTGGATATGAAAAAAATCTATAAATACATTGTATTTAAATTTAAATATTCTTATTCTGGTTGCAAAGATTTTCTTCATTTCATATTTTAATATTTGTCATTATTATTTGTAGAGAAAAAATTAAAACAATAAAAAAAAGAATTCCACAACCTTTTTCAAAATTTGTTAACATATAACTTGACTCACAAAGTTTAATTTGGTTTCTTTTTCGTTTTTGTTTTGTTTCGTTGAAGAAGAGAAAATTTTCATCCACACCGGGAAATGAATGAATGTTATTTATTTATCACTTGTCAGCGATGATTCGATTCTAGTTTGACTATATTGACACACATAGTCATTGTATTGGAGGAAAAAAATTGCAATCAAAAAAAAAATTCTCCATTGATCCACACAACAATTTCATAAAAAATTTATTACAATGATGACTATTCAAAGTACTGGTAAAGTGTTCATGTATGTTCTCAAATTCCATTATCCAGAATCTATTCGATTCATGGCTAGATAAATGGTGATGATGATAATAATAATAATAAAAATTCGTTGATAATTGTTTGTTACGATATTTATTTACCGACATTATCATTTGTACAAAAGACAAAGATCATCATCATCATCATCATTATAACAATCATCCGTGTCGGTATCCGTAACATTCAAAAAAAAAAAAAAAAAATGGTCGAATCAAATCAAATTTACAAATTTATATAAATTCTTTGAATAGTTTTTGTGGCTGAAGTAAACATATCTACTACTAACATAATGACAAGGAAATGAATGTTTCGCCACCACTGCCACTAACACCCATAGTAAAGTGATGTTATTATTTTCACTAAAACATTTTTTTTTTTTTTTGATTGCAATTTGGTAATTTTCTCTGTCGCTCTCTATCCATCCGAAGTGAGATAATTCAACAATATATATAGATTTTTTTTTTGATCAAAAACATCCTCATCCCGACATGACAAGTGAATAAAGAACGTTTGAAATAAATGTGATGAGGAAACGGAAATTATTTTCAATTTTCAAGAAAAACAAACGTCTTGTTATCCACATGGAAGAGTGAGTGTGATATTTAATAATTGGATGATGGCAACAACATCAAAAACAACAAATTAACTTTGATAATCTATATGATGACCGATGGTAATGGATTCGGCTATCATCATCATCATCGTCATCAAAATTCCAATGTTGTCAACATAAATAACATTTTTGATGATGATGATGATGATTTTGTTAAATTTTCTTCATCAATTCATCCATCATTGATTGATTGATTGATTCAATTTGACATTTGATACTGTAAATTATATTCATTTTTTTTAGAATTTGTCCTTACCTCCTTGAATTCAGCAATCTGATTCTGTGAGAACATTGCAAAAATATTCGATGTAGTACGTGTGGCACGTTTTTTTGCTGAACTTGTTTTACTCTATCATCCATTGTTTCCCCCCCATAACAACCATTATCCATTGATTGATTGATTGATTGATAATTCAATTAATTTCAAGTATGATTAAATATAGATGACCATTATGACGACAGACATACACACACACACACACATACATTCAAACGGATGATGATTCGGATGATTTGTCGTTTGATGAAATTTGATTCCATCCAAAAACAAAACAAAAAAGAGAATATTAAAATAAAGTATAATCAATCAATTGATGATAAGCAATTTACCATTTTTAATATATTTATTTAATATTTATTCTGGATCGAAAGGAAATATCGAAATGAAATGAGAAAAAAATTCACACACACAAAAAGAAAAAAGAAAACAAAACTGGTTTGTTAATAACGGAAAAATCAAATGCTAAACTGAAAAAAATGTAGAACTAATTTGAATTATAAATTTCGAATTTTCAAAAAAAAAAATTCTTGCAATGATCGATGGAAACACAAACACACCAAAAAAGAAAAATTGGTTCCAACTGTTCTTCTTTCTTCTTTTACTTATTCTATGGATAATTTTTTTTTTCTTGGCAACAAAAACTTTGTTTTTAACTTATTGCTTCTTTAATATTGGATGAATATACGAGGTTTGACACCGTTTATTGATGTTACCGTTGGTTTTTTATATCCCAGAATTTTTTTTTTTGTTTTTGTTTGCTATAATTAATTCCAAGTTTGGACACATTTTCGTTGATGTCGTTGTCGTGTGTGTGTGTGTATGTGTGTCTCTTGTAGACGAAACAAACAACAAAAAACAAACGACGACGAAGTTATCATCATCATGCCAAATGAAATGTGAAAATAAACAAAAATTAGAATCTCCCCTTTGGTTGTGGCCCTTGGTTTTTAATGTGTAAATTGAGGCCAAAATCTTTGATGATGATAAACACATCCATATTCACATCCAGAACAACAAAAACAACCAAATTTTCCCAGTGAAAAATAAATATTTTAAAAATAACTTTCTTTTTCTCTCTCTCTCTCTCTGTCTCTCTTGTTTTTACTTTCTGTTTTCATCTCATTCTCAAGTTAAGCTTTTTCTTAGTTTAACTTTTTTTTTGAAAAACCGCTACAGTGTTTTTTTCAAAAAAAAACGTTTCATTCGTGAAAATTTGTTGTCAATTCATTCATTCAATACGCGGAATATTCCTATGAATGCCAAATCAGATATATATGTGCGTGTTTACGGCCAATGAACGAAATTGTGGCTGTTTTCGAAACAAAACATACATACATACATACAATTCAATCCCAAATAATGTCTATATGGTTATAATATCGTTGAAAAAAGTGAAAATTTTCAAAAAAAAAAATTAAAATCAAAATGTTGTAGTGTTTTACAAATAATGCTTCAATATTCATTGTTGAAGTGTCGTTTGTTTTTACATCATCATCTGAAAAAAAGTCATAAACACAAGTCTTACATTTTTTTTTTATTAATTCCAATTAAATAAACAGAGAAAACAAGAATTTTCCAATAGAATCTAAGAAGAATTTTATTATTATTATCATCATCATCATCATCATCATCTTGTTGGATGTTGTGATTGCGGAAAATGTACTTGTTGGCCAAAGTGTTATAGTGGTGGTGTGATTTTTTTTCATGCTTGAATAGTTGTTTATTTGTCGGAAATTTGGCAATCGACAACAACAACGACAAAAAATTGAATAAATTAAACGGGTTAAATTTCTAGTTTCTTTTTTTTTGTGGTGAGAATTCTTTTCCGAAATTTTTTCTTTATTGCACACAAACTTAATTCACAAAGGACAAACGCACACACACACACACACAAACAATCTCTTAATGATCCAACAATCCGATAATGATGGATGATAATGAAAACATTGATAAAAAATCGGAATTTTTTTTAATACTTTGAATGCACTCAGTAATCAGAAATCCGATGATAGTTTCAGCACTATTGATTGATTCAAAAGATTCTTCTTTTTTTTTTGATTTGTAACAACAATCACGTCTTTTATGTGAACCATTCAGTTCGACATTGTGAAATTGGATGGAAAAAGGCAATCGATCGATTCGAGTTCGAATGTACTTGTGTGCAAAGACATGATGAAAATATTTTTTATTTATTTTATGCGGGGATGGGGGGAGGAATGGAATGAAAAAAATAAGAATCAATTACCTTCCTTGCTTTTCTCTTTTCTTTCTCTCTCTCTAATCCATTTCAATTTGATTCATTTCAAATTAATTCTTTTTATATTAAATTTTTTAAATTAAAATTCCAATTGAATGAAATATAAAAAAAATCGGTTTCTTGTAATAATATGCCGGATGTTTTTCGAATAGATGGAAAAGAAAAAGTTTTTCTTTTGTACTGCCGAAAAACCAGAAAAATCCATAAATCTATAACCAAATTTCGGTATAAAAAATAGTTTCGGTTTCATCACAATAATAGTCCGGAATTGTCCGAGAGAGAGAGAGAGAGAGGGAAAGAGAAATTATGTTGGATAATGTGTCTTTGAACCTTATTTGTTTGATTTCAGTCTTTAAATTCTTCATCGGGAAAAAACCTAATTTGCTATACCATGCTTATTATAAGAATAAGAATAAATGGCCAAAAAATATAGCTAAAAATAGGATGAAATTTTTTTTCCTCTGATTATATTATATTATATTGTTTTATTAACATCATAAGATCTGTAAATTATGCATGACAAAATGTGTAGATACTTGTTTTACATTTTTATTTGAATTGCCCATTGAATCATTGCCAAGCCCGAGGAAAAATGGTTTAGTATATACATGTGATTCTCATGTTGTTGTTTTGTAAAATAAAAACATATAAGAATTTCTATAGAATATTCAATTTCTTTCAAATGCGTAATAATCATTATTTTTTTCAAATTTGATTATTCTGATTGTCATTTTTGTTGTTGTTATTGCCATCATCATCATCTTGTTGTTGTTGTTGTAGTTTTATAATTCATTCAATTTTATTTGTTTATTAAATAAATTTTTTTTTTGTTTTATTAAAAAAAGAATATTTTAAGGAATTTTGTTTATACGGAGAAATTTTTTCCTTCTTTTGCTACGATGTAACTTTGTTGTTCATTATCATGCATATCACATGCTTAGTTTTTGCTTGTCAATTTTCAATGTTTTAAGTAACAGCTACAAAAAAATGAGATAAGTTTAATTGGGTTGTAGGTTAAAATCCCGAAAACAAAAACCCCGAAAACCGAAACACCGAAACCAAATGACCGAAAACAAAAACCCCGAAAAAAAATTACCCCGAAAAAAAATTATCCCGAAAACAAAAACCCCGAAAACAAAAACCCCGAAAAAAAATTACCCCGAAAAAAAATTACCCCGAAAACAAAAACCCCGAAAACAAAAACGTAGAAAATGGCCTGTTCCCTTAAACTTTAAAGCTTAAAGAATTATTCGACCAAACTGAATAGAATCAAAGATAAATAAGTGAAGTTTGGATTTAAATTTCAAATTTTAAACGAACAAATGGTGATAATTATATAATATAAATGAATAATATAATAATATAATGTAATATAAATTATATAATTCGAACCCTAATTGATTCGGTCAATGAATCGTATTGACGATAAATTGACATCAATTTGCCTTCTCAAAAAAGATCGTGTTGGAGCGAAATTTGTAATTTTGGATGTTTCACCTCAAGTTTGAAAACGGACAATTTATTTTCAAATTAACTGATCATTCACATGAAAAACTGACCAAAATTGATATATTTACCGATCATTTTCAACTGACCAAAACTTTTAAAAAATTACTGACCAACCCCTGTAAATGTAAAAATGCTCTAGTCTGCTCAAAATGCCATGGTAATCATGAATCACGAACATACACTTCATCTAGTCAATTATTTAGTTGTGCTTATTGTTTGTGGTGGAATCAACACAGGAAAAATTTGTCTAGTGCTGGATTAAATGTCAATTATTCAGTTTTCAGTGAAAAATGTCCACAATATAAGCTAGCAACCGATTATTATCATAACCACATCGATTATGGATATTGAGCAAAGACAAATTAAAATTCCGGTTCAAAATTTACAACATAGTTTGAAATCTATTGATCTATTAACCACAACTTCGAAATGCTGATTTTACTGAAGCGAGCCAATGTTCATATGAAAGTAGTTCTTTGAGAACAAGGCTAGAAACAGTTATTATCAAATTTGAATCGATTGAATCAGAATCGTGTACACTGATAAACATCGTTGCGTTATTATTATGAGCATGTTACGATCAAATTCAAAATTAGAACAATTGGCTGATCGAATTATGATGAACCAGAATGGTACAATGAACACCATCATGAATGAATTCATTGTATATGATGAAAAGGCCAAATCTCAATCTTAAGAAAAAGTTTAAAAATAATATAAAATGCCCATTTTGCCATAAAATTGGACATAAAGTTGAAGGATGTTGGACGAAACGAAAAATTGATTCCAATAAAACAGAAGTTTCTCCATCAACATCATCTAATGATAAATCTTCTTCTAGCTCATCATTTTCACAAAATCAAATAACAAAAATAAGAAGAAAGCTGCAAAATTGTTGATGTTGAAATGTGCTGAAAAATTATCAGATATCTGGATACTTGATTCTGGATGTACTTCTCATACAACGATTGATAAAAATTTGCTTATGGATCAAGAAGATAAACAGATTGAATTTGAATTGGCTAATGGTAATACAATTACATCAAAGAAAAATTGGTAATGTTGTTATTGAACCAAAACCAAATTGAAAGATGTGGCCTATGGTGGTTTCAGTTCAAATTTGATATCTGTTCGAAAATTGATTGAAGGCGGTTTTAAGATAAATTTTGAAGAAAATGTGGCCCAAATAACAAAAAATGAAATTTCATTTAATCTATGGATTATTGACAACAAATTAAAAAATATCATCATGAATATCTAGATATTAATTTAAAATTTAAAACTTGTGGTGATTGTATGATGAATAAACTAGATCTAATGACATCTTTTCGTAGAATCCGGTACATGAAATTTCTCACAGTAATAGTGTTAATCTCCGTTCATTTAAAGTTTAAGGGAACAAGCCATTTTCTACGTTTTTGTTTTCGGGGTTTTTGTTTTCGGGGTAATTTTTTTTCGGGGTTTTTGTTTTCGGGGTAATTTTTTTTCGGGATAATTTTTTTTCGGGGTTTTTGTTTTCGGGGTTTTTGTTTTCGGGATAATTTTTTTTCGGTCATTTGGTTTCGGCGTTTCGGTTTTCGGGGTTTTTGTTTTCGGGATTTTGACCTACAACCGTTTAATTGATCAGTATTTTGAGGGAATTGGTCAGTTTTATATGAGATTGATCAGTTCTTTGGAGGATATTATTGACCAGTTATTTTTTGTTGAAAAAGAAAACTTCAACTATTACACAGAGCTTGTAGTAAAGTTCAAGTTCTTTTATATTCATATTTTCAAGCTTATATAAAAGCAAAATTGTTATTTGTTCATGACTTCTGATTTGTCATTCAATGCAAATGTTTCATTGATTTAATAAAACATAAACATTTTTCTGAACATTTTTTGTGTTAACAAAAATTTGTTACATTTTCTTTGAACAGATCTTTTAAAAAAGAAAAAGCA